TTAGTGATTATAAAAATAATTAACTTTTTGTTAATATACATTTTATAAAAATTTAATCAAAACCATATGCACAAGATTTTTTTAAATGCAGCAATATTTATACAATTTTTTTTTAATTAGATATTGGTAATGTTCATGACCATCAACGTTATTTATACCTAAACAAATTATAACTCATAAAATGTATTTCAAATTAAAAGAAAAACCTCTTGGTAATATATTTTCTTTAAATAATAGACAACTGAAATCGAAATTTGAAAAACTTTCGATAAAATGTTTTTTATTCATTTTCTAGCCATTCTTTATAAACAATGGTATCAAAAAGTTTTATGTTAATGATATTAATCACCATTAAACATCATACTATATTAAAGTTTACTTTACCCGATCTCTACTACGCTAGGCCCTAGCTATACTAGATTTTTTTAATGATATAACTTTATAAAATATTTTCATAGTAAAGATGAAATAAAATAGACGCAGAATGGAGTAGTGTCTTATTCAGTCACCGTCTTAGTGATGATGTTCAGGTGTAATGTTTGATTTTGATTCTTGGATGGGTAACCATAAGAATCTTTAACAGAAACACACACACTTTTTCCCTTAATAGCTCCCTCAATTATAATATGGTTGCTTCAGATAGAAACCGATTTAAAAATTCTGTCAAATCATTATAAGATAGATCCGACTCAATAGTTGGGCTAGAGGCTAAAAAATTTAAAGATAATTTTCTTTTTTATCTGCATAAAATTGCTACTACTAAATTTATACTTCTGTTTCTTATAGTTTCAAAAAAATTATTATTACTTTTATTCATTTAGGTTTATCAAAAAAAAATGCACATCTCTTAATTAAAATTTAATTAACAAGTCAAAGGTGAAAATAATTGTTTTATTAGAAAATATAAAATGATGGAATTTTTATTCTTATTAAACAAGATTTAATACCATTTACTAAATTTAATGATTATTAATTAATTTTTATTGACTGATTTAATTTTATTTCTGAGGATCATAGGTGCAAATTTAAGTGGTGCTAAAATCTTTAAATTTCTCAAAATTTTCAACAGTCCTCCAGAATTCTTTTTAAAAATTTATGTACGATAATATAACGACACGTGCGGATTTATTTTATGTTTAGGGAAGCTAATTTTGAAGAGTTTAAAGATCTTTAGCCTCTCCTTAATCTTCGCCTATACTAATTATAAATATGGTTATAAAATAGATAGTAATTCAAGTTGTAGTATCTTTTTCAAAATTAATATTTAAATTTATGCAACAATTCATTGTTTTCAAATTGTTAAAACTCTTTGTTACAGATGAAAAACTTATTTGAAGGGGAACATTTTTATGATTTTTAAATTGTAGTTTCATATTATCATAATACTCATATACCAAAAAATAACAATAGAGATTTTAATCATAGAAAATATATATCTCAAGGAGACAACAAAATTAAGTGCGATACAAAAAAAAATTTGTATTAATAAAGGACTATTTTTGAAATTCCTCATTATCGCAAAAATCCTCAAAATCTTAGAATCAATTAATTATGTTTGCTAAACAAGCCGATTATCGATAACCCTTAATTTATTTTGTTGATACAGTTTAAAAAAATGAAATATTATAAAAAAAGGAAATTGCATTATGTATTCATAATTTGGAATTTAATATAGCGATTAATTTATAGCTGACGATCGTGGAGAGTTTAACCAAGGGGTGTAAAGCGATTATAATCAATCATATTTCGGATCCTCGTGTTGCCAAGACCTCCTTGTCAGTGAAAGACGCGAAACGTTATCATCGTGGACCAAAACGGACTAGAGCGCAAATAAATATTTACTCGATACCCATTACCCGTTAGAATGTCATTTGATTTGATGCACATTCAACTAGCGTCACCGTCTTTGACATAAACTGCATTTACATTATCCTCCGTTAAGCCAGACGGTTTTAATTAAAGTAAAAAAAGTCAACAACGAAATATACTTACAAACAGCATAGTCACGAAAAACGTCAACCCAAAAAGAAAATGAATTCCCCTACTTTGCCTGTCATTGCAACAAGACTAAACCATCAGGGTTTTAAAGATCTTTTACAATTAAGACTGAGTTGTTTGATACATTGTACATTGAAAATAAAGATTATTTTATCATACTATTATCTAAAAATAATCGAAAACAGATAAATTTTTAACTAAATTAAAAAACTATATTTAATGATTACACTCATGTAAAAACAACATATGTTATTTAACTATAGTAAAATTTAGATAATTTGAAAAAATTAGTAACTTAAACAAATATGTTGTACGATAAAAACCCTACTTTTGAATATATTATATGAAAAATCAATACATAATGTTATTTAATTATTTTTATTTTTGGAAGGTCTTAGCTCCTCCCAAATTCCTTCAATAATTAACGATAAATATTTTATTATTTAAAGAAAATATATAAAAAAGATAAATAAAGAATTGCTTTTTAATTATTCAAGTAGAATATCAAGTCTTAAACTTTCACTTTTAAAATTTTTCAAATCATGATATTTTCTTAGTTAAATATTTCCAGTCTATTATATTATACATAATATTAACAATTGAAAATTTAATCAAAGTAAGCCCATTATAAACTCAGACTGACAAACTTGTCTTATTATTAAATAAAAAAAAAACTTCATAGACATTTTTTTTTATAAAAAGGCAAGAAAATAAATGTAAATAAATTTCATATATTATAATTCCTTAAATAAACTAAATTACTTAAGCGTTTAGCATCCTTAAAATTTAATATCATGTTAAAAATTTAAAAAGTTCTGGTTTTTACAATCGACAGTTAGTTCATATTTTTAATTGATAATATTTCATTTTGATTATTATTTTATTTAAATATCATTAATCATAGTGATATAAATTCAAATATCATTAGAGGTTATAAAAATTTCTCAAAGTAAAAAAAAATAAATGGGAAAAATACAATTGTGTTATTTGTTAAGAAATATGCATTACTTTATAAAATAAGTATAATTTAATTTTTATCATTGGTAAACAATATTATGAATATTTATCTCAAGTTAAATAACATTGATTTGGCTGATAGTATGAAAAATTAATTTTGTAAATATCTGTAATGAAATTTCAAAACAACGTAATTTTAAATAAAATGATTTATGAATAAATAATCAAATTTATTCTTGTTATACGAGAAAAAGATTTTTCAGATTTGTATTCTCTCCGGCACATCTATCAAATCACAGTTTTCGCACGTTTTCATTCTAGTAAATACATTTAGAAGAATATAATAAAATCCGAGAGAGGTGTTGCCGCAACTAACATTTATCCAACTCCCCTTAGAAAATCGGACGGCACACCATCATCACTATATATGTATAGGCAATCCGATACGACAAGACGGTGAAGTATGGATTTCGTTTATACAACATGGATATCAACACACCGAGGTGACATGGTATAAGATTTTTACCCCTAAAGAAAATATAAATTGCATTTACGTTTAGGATGTATGTATCCAGCTATACGATGATTCCACGTCCAATCGTCGTAACCCTAACGCTTCAAGTAAATAGTATAGATAGTGCAAAAAAAGCGAGAGCATCTCCCTTGTACACAAGGCGAAAATGTTGCATCCGGGTAGATTTGGATCGCAACTAATATTTCCCAAAGGCTGTTGTACGTGAAAGGATAAAAAACCGTTTTCCATTTCGGGGTGATGTTTCATGGGTGAATATCGTCGAGGTGTGCACGATAAACCATAAAAACTTTTTCTGCGAATTTCTTCTAGTACCCACCGCATAGTTTTTATTTATTATACTTTCAGTCGGCCAAAGAAAAACTAATTAACAGCTCTAAAAAGTATTTTTAACGTTTCGCGATAAAAAGAACTTGTATGATAAATCAAAACATAAATTGTCATTTTATAATGAATTTCTATTGCTGTAATTACATTAAACTAAATATTACAAAAAAAAAATAAAAATAAAACACTCATAATTCATAGATTCGACAAATCTCGTTTGTAAATAGTGACAATAAGTAATGTTCTTTATTTTTAAAAGTAGTCATATTCATGAAATAATAATTAAAAATTAAGTTAAATTTTCCCTGCCATCTATTATGTATTCATAATGACTGATAAAATAATAGTCATTATAAAATGACAAAACATACTGTAATATTACTAAAAAAATTTTTTTTTTCCTAAATTATAATTAATGTTAAAATTTATCCATTTTCAAAAAATAATTTGAAAAAGTAAATTTGCCTTGTAATTTTCACCATCTCCGAATTAACTATTCATTTGTAGACGAAAATTAATATTATATAATAGATAAGGCATACATAGTCTACGTACAATGCAGTTGATTAAAATTAAAGCGGCGTGTACGACATAATTAAAAGACGTTCGAAAGTTTGGCCGGCTTTTTCGGTAATATTACGGCATTGTTATTTACGGCCCATTGTTTTTCCCTAACTTTCTAATTACACCAATCTGCAAAATTCCCGATCTTAATGAAATAGTCCTGTAGAGCATTTCATAAAAGATAAAAGCCATGGTTCCTATACGTTAACTGTGGGTGATGGCTATAAAATCGGTGTATAAAGGAAACCGAGAAAAAGGTCGCTATTTAAAATGGAAACTGGCCAATTTGTATTCCGCTCATATTATTCGTTATCCATTTTTCCCTTAATCCAAAAGTAAAAATACTTTCTTACTTTAACTTTTATTCCAGCGTCAAACAAAATGTTTATAAAAAAGCAACCAAGGTAAAAGTATATTTCTGGCGACATAGTTCAAAATTTTACGATTTCAAAAATTACCTTAAAAAGTACATCATCATCATCATTACAAAATTATTTTAACTTAAATACATAAAGTCGCATAACATTTTAATGTTGACACGTGTAAATTTCGCTATTATGCATAATACTATACGATATGATATACAGTTAATGATTGTTTATTAATGTAATTAAAAATATACCTTGGCATTGACTTCTGAACCATTAGTGAATATCACTAGGAAGATGATAGACCAGACAATTTTTTTCATTTTTCTTCGATAGATCTATAACAAAATAAAAGTTGTTTCAGAACTATAAATATACTATTCTTCACTTTAGTCAAAATTATTAATTAATAAGATATTGTTTTTCCTGAGTAATTTTATTTGACGTTATTTATGTACAGCATCAGATTATGCCAACGGGATACTTGGTAGGTCGATCGCCCGATTATATTGTATCGCTCATATTATAATTAATGGCAACTATTATTTAGTAAATCACAATAATTTTAGTCTTTTGGTAATCATATTTTGTTTTGCTCGTCACATTCTTTTGATAATATAAAATACCCCGTACGGCAATAATTCTTGTAGCCATATTTTCCATAAATCCTCGAAATAAGTGTAGCCCAAATAAATTATATAATTAAATTAAACCAATAACTTGTATATCATTTTACAAGTTCTAATTTTTAAGTATCTTACATCAAGCTATTCAAAATTATCACTTTTGTTATATTGATGACACGAAATTATTAGCGTTTTATTCCAACAAATATATTGTCCCCACTTTATGAGATATTGTGTCTATGTAATTCATTTTTTTTCCTTTTGTTCAATGTTTATTACTTTTATTTTACTGTTTGAGTACTTAAGAGCTTATTTTGTTGATATGATTCACTTCGAAAAAGACATAAATTAATTCAAAAAACGCAGTCTACATCAGCTGTAATTTTTTCTCGTTTCTATACTGTACTGTAACTCTTAATAATTTCACCGTAAAGGTCGTGAAGAGGACATGTATATAGCAGTATCTCATACCCTTTAACTATCCGTGAATCTGCTGACCTTTAGGGATTGTTCCGCGGTAAAACCCTGCATTTGACATTCGGCAAAAGGCATCGTCGACCATTTAAGGGTAGGGAAGAACGTTCCTTAGAGCTCAAATATCCCTCCTAATACATCTATGTCCGACCTCATCCATTCCAACTCAGTGGGTCGGCGCCACTACCGTCATCGTCATCGCCATACACCAAACAACATGCAATCATTTATTTATAGCTTTCGCTTGGCGACCACCGCTTTCCATTTTACCCCAACCTCCTGTCCACAATTGCATACTTACTACGCTACGGAGTCGATTGTTCATGGGCCACAGAGTAAAAAGACAAAATCAATATTAGAATGCCGACCATATTAAGAAGCACGTATCACATCACATGTGTGTAGATACACTAGTTTAAATGAGAGAAAATTTCATAAATTATAAATTATTTTTGACGAGATATTCCAATAAATACTACTACTGGCACCCTTTCATCGATAACCATTATATCTCCTACTCATCACAGTGGCATACCCTCGCACATTTAAAGTACTAACTCGTTTTTTTTTTGCCCTCCGGATTTTTTTAATTAAAGAGTATTTGTACTCGTCTCTGTCCTATTTCTGGTCACCGAAATAAATTATTCCATGGTAGTATTTTTTTTTTTTTTTTACAGATTATTTTATTGGGGTGTATTGCTAAAACCAGTAGGCGTTTTTAGTAAAGTACACATTGTTCTAACAAAAAAATCATATTTAATTAATGGGATTTCAGTAAATAAGAACTTTTTTTATTTTTTAGGAAAACTATGTACGTTCTGGTAAAGTAGTACACATTTTAACTACTGAGTTAAAATGTAACTTAAAACATTTTTAAGTTACTTAACAGTAACTTTCTAGAGCTGAAACACTTTTTTTCAATTATATTTCAACAAGAAATCAACGTTAGTGCAAGTGAATTGAAAAATAATTCGAACCTTTAAATTGAATTTTAAAATGTTTATAATTAAAATTTACAAAGTATTTAAAATATTTATGCTATTTGCTAATCATAAATGACTATATTAAATAGGTATAAATTCCAGGAGTACATTTACAGATAGGACAGTCAATGAAGAATAATACAAAATATTCAAATTTTATTTTATACAATTTAAATAACACACAAATGTGATGCCTAAAAGGAATCCTTCGTTCCCTACTATAAATACGAGTCTCGTCTATTCTAAGTATAAGATATTTTTAAATCTTAAATTTTTTTCATATTTGAAACTTATTCTGTACATAAACAGAGTTTCAAGTGATATCAGATATATTAGATTTCTAAAATTAAAATGTATAAAACACTAAAACAAGTGAAATTCAAGTTATAAAACTTTGATTAAAAATTGAATACTTTTTATATTTTTCAATAAAATAATTAAGTTTGTTTCTAGTTCTGAAATACTAAATCCTATGAAACTACTTCAGACAATATATTCGATTTATGAAAATTATTTTTTATGCGTACTTCAGTATTAGTATAATACATTAACATTATGTATACGTTTTTACATTTCACAAAACATCTTATAAATATTTCAGAATATTTAAGAATGTTAATTAGTTAAAACATCAATTTTAAATTTGCAAGATTTTAAACACCAGTGAAAATGAATAAAAAAGGTTTTAAAAGCCGATATCTAAAACTAACATTAGTGTATAAAATATTAAAATCGTAACCTAAATATGAATACATTAGGTTTTGCAAAACTCTTAAATTTTTCCACCAATTCTCAATTTAATACTTCATCGTTGTTATAATTTATAACGCTCTTGAGCCATAAACAAAAATATGATGTACAAAAAAAGGTCATTTGGTGATAAAATCATTTATTTTATTTCTCCACATTTATTAATTTTCCAGGATCCCACAAAATATAGCACCAGCATTAGGAGGATTTGATACAATTTTCTCATACCTAAAAATATTTTTAAAAAATTTAACGAGTAAATATTATTAAATAGTATATTGGTGAAAATTATAATTTCAACACTTCAAAAAGTTTTAATAAGTTACAGATAATTAAATTTCTCTATTTACCTGCATGTTACTTTATACTCTGATATTAAATATATATAAAATGATAAAAATGGCCAAAAAAATATTTCATGCAGCTTTATTTAGTGTGAACAAATTACGATTTGAGAAGGTATTCCCTAATAATTAAAAAATACCTATTCAAACTCTTATTTTAATAAATCTTTTTTAATTTATAAAATACGACAACATACAATACAAAACACAACTAATGTTATTTTAATGGATGCATAATGATAAATAACTACAAAAAAGTTTTTTGATACTTAAACATTTATAATTCTACAAATTATCATTTTGTATCTGAGCGCACAGCAGTCATCAGTTTTAGAAATTCTAGTGTATAAAACAATTCGCCCAGTTTTTCTAACCCCTGTATCTCTGTTTTCTTTTGAAATAGGTTTTGAAATTTAAATTAGGCGCTTTATTTAAATATTGAACATCAATCCTACTTTTATGAGCACCATTGGTCCTTTATTTGTAATGCTTAACACTAATTTCTGGTCAAAAACTGGCACAATACTCATTTAAAAATTACGCGAGAAATGTGAAGAGAGAACTCAAAAGAAAAGAAAAAAGGTTCTCATCTCAGAGGATTCATCTAGAATTGTGGCAAAATCTGTTTTATACTTCATTTATGGCCAAGTATTATTTATATACGATTAAAGGAGTAATGTTGGTGATGAAAGCGGGATTGAAGTTGATGAACTAATAAAGAGCAAACTTGGCTACATATATATATATATATATATATATGTTTACTTTTTTAGGAAAGAAAAGATTGGAACTAGACACTTTGTCATAGTTAGGCTTTTGTTGAGGATCAACTATTTTTTACTAAGTACTATTAACATAAAATCCTTGGAATTATTAAGAAGTCCTATATAACAAGAAGTTATTTGCCTAAATTTTCATGTTCAACTTAATCATGAACTATAAACTGAATTATGTTGAGAAAACCTAGTGACCTAATGAAAATAATAAATTTCAATCAATTTTGTCGAATTATTAACATAAAAATTACAACATAAACTCCGATGCATTTTTTTATATAAAACGAGACAAACCTTAAGGTCCTTGAAGTACGTTACCAATACAAATTATAATACGAAATGAATATTCTCAAATTTTATGAACTTTGAATGTCCTAGATAACTTAACATGAACAATAATGCCATGCCTAATTGACAAGTTATAAGGTAAACAAAAAAAAAATCAATTGTTACTAATAGCTTCACTAACGTCTCGCTAATTTTTAAACAAAATTTAAAAAATAGATATGAATAGTCACAAGTACATGTCCATTTAATTTTAAATATTTGAACTTTTAAGAAAAAACTTTGAAAATGTTAAAAAATAATATATATATTTATGTATATAATTTTCCAAGGATTAAAATACTATGCACTCTTTATTATAATCTTATTATTATGATAATATTGTAAACAATTTAAACATAAGAAAAATATCGAAAAGATTTAAAAATTTAATTATAATATAATTCTGTTATACTACATCAGTTAGTAATTATAATTAATATAATTAAGCTTTGGTTAATAATTTTAGTTTAAATCAATGTAAATTTCTTGTTAATATGATTAAATTGTAATTGTAAATCTGAGATTATATACCTACCTATAGTTTACAAAATACACCGAAACATTCGCATTTTTAGAAATTACAGCCCTTCTATTTGTTTATACGTAGTTCTGCCTATAGACAACAATATTGAAATACCTATAATTATATAAAAACTTTAATACACTTTTTTAAATTCCATCACTGTGAAATTTACCTATTATTAAATACCTCGACCTTATTCAATAATATATAATGATAAAAAAACTATCTGATTACAACAGAATATAATAATATGAAATAATAACAATCATTAATATTATCGACCAAATGAAATTGGGAAATTCAATAATACTTAGTAAAGAACTAGATGCAAGTGCGCAAAAATTGCTTCGCACCAGGTGTAACAGAGAGATTAAATTGAATTTAGCTTACGGAAATATCTGTTTATAAAATAAAATAAAAAAATCTCATAAAACCAGATTGCTTGAGAGACAATACTTTTTTATCTTTTGTACAATGCGTTATTTTATACTACGGACATTTCGACTCGGCGTATATATATTTATTCTCTTTCGCC